GTCAATGGGGGGGTGGGGAAAGGCGACATATGTAATACTTTCAAAAATCAAGAAATATATATAAAAGGCTGAGTGTGATGGAGAGGTATGGAAAGCAGCAATCTACAATTAGTTGTAGAGAAAATGGATTGATAAGTGAGGCTATGGATTGAATAGAAGAGTGGAGAAGGCAAAGCCTTATTATCACAGGGAAAAAAGGTCAAATTTCCATAGTTATTCATTCATTCACTTAATCACTCACTGAATAAATATTAATTGTGTGCTATTACGGGCTGAGTTGTGTACCCCCAAAATTCACATATTGAAGTCCTAACCCCCAGTACCTGAGACTGTGACTATATTTAAAGAGATAATTAAGTTAAAATGAGGTCATAGGAGTAGACCCTAATCCAAAATGACTGGCGTCCTTTTAAGAAGAGATTAGGACACAGATACACACAGAGGGAAGTCCATGTGAGGACACAGGGAGAAGGCAGCCTTCTATCAGCCACGGAGCATGCCCTCCGGAGAAACCAAACCCAATGACACCGTGATCTTGGACTTCCAGCTTCCATGACAATGAGGAAATAAATTTCCTTTGTGTAAGCCACCCAGTCTGTGGTTATGTGTAGAATGACTTTGCTATGTTAGCCCTAGCAAACACACACACATGCCCACTATGTAGAAGACAATAGTTTGAATGAAATGTAAACAGAACTGATAAAAACCCTTCTTCATAAGGTTCTATAGAAACAAGACTACTTGGGATTTCAAGTTCTTGTCCATTGGAAGAGAAATCTCTAATTAATGCCACTTGCCACCAGGCCAGAGCTGCAGTAAACAACTCCCAACCGGAAGCCTGGCTGTGGAGGGAGCAGAGGCTGATGAGAGGGATGGGGTCCAGCCTGCTCTTGGATGACATCACTACTCACTCTTACCACTGCACTCCCCAAAGTAACAGAAAGAGGAATAAGCAATGATAAGAAAGCAGAAACTACCAAGAAGTACCACTATAATTTGAACCTACCTGGACAATGTTTAAATGTATTTTTCAAGAACTGTGTCTAAAAGCCTCTAGCTAATCTTTTAATCACTCACAGATTGGTTTAAATATACCAGCAGTTCTCTCCGTGAAAACCCTGTATTCTACAACTTCCTTCATGCCAACACCAACAAGCAGTATGGCTTTAAAGTATGAGATGCATGCCTCACCATGACAGCCTCCGTGTTTGTCTTCCATGTCAATCCACTTCACGGCTCTGAGGTTACCAGTCCATGATGCATTGGGCATGGAGCCAGGGACACCTGCAATGTTGACAAAGAAGTAAAGCACAAATGAGAACCAAGAGAGAAGGGTGTCAATTTCTTCAATTAACCCTCCAAGTCATTTTCTTTAAATATATTATCTTTCACATCAGAGTTGTCATCATTATGGTGTGAATAGTTGGTGGTTATGGGCTTGGCTTTGCCACCAGTAAAAAGAATCTATTGATTTTTTTTCATAGTGTGTGTGACCAAGCCTGAAAAGTTTGGTCACACACATAGAGTTTAAGAAATACTGTAGTGTAAAACCACAAGAGAAGGTTGGGGATTTTTGGTCTCTTAATGGCCTTTAATTAAATGTGCTTGCAATCCTAATGTTAATTTTTTTATTTTTATTTTTTAGGATTTTCCAGATGGGTCTAAGAAGTGCAAGCCCTGGAAACAGGCTGCTCAAGGTTCTTAGTGCTAATTAATTGAGAGCAATTCCAGGGTCGCTCTTATATGACATTGCAATTTTAGGCATACAGAGAAAGATAGCTTGTTCACGACATGTTTAACATAAATCTTTTAACACACTATGCCTTTTATTTGTTAAAATACTTCTTGAGCATTTGATATTTGATGTGCTGGGAACTGGGGACAGAGAAATCATTCCTGATCACCCAATGAGGATAATGAATTGTCTATCCCAGTAGTAGGTTTTGAGCTTTGAGTTTTCCCTAGAAGATTGGTGTACACTGATTCACTCATCTTCTCTATCTCTTTCAGTTGTTCTTTGACCAAATGCTGTTGCTGACCTATTTTCTAGTTAGAAATTATCTAATGCACCGTTGAAACGTAAAGAATTCGCCTTAAAAGGGGAGAGGGGAGTTTTAGGTTGTCATCTTGCTAAGCCAAGGTTTCTCTAACTTGGCATCATTGACTGACACTCTGGGCTGGATAATGCTTGGCTATAGGTCCCGTCCTGTGTAGTGTATGATGTTCAGCAGCACCCCTGGCCTCTACCCACTAGATGCCAGTAATACATACCCCCCAACTGTGATAATCAAGAATGTCTTCAGACATTGCCGAATATCCCCGGGGGAGCAAGACTGCCCTGTTTGAGAAACACTGTGTCAAGCTACTCAAATAACCCTCTTCATCTCAATAAATTTTGGAGAGGTCCCAGAGATGAAGGGTCCATTTAATCACATAGAGTAGTTATACCCCAAGATTTCCATTACTGGAAAAGGAGTATATGGGAATCAATGTAAATTCTACTAGCGGAGGAATATTTCACTTCATAAGAACTGCAGCGATTTTCACCAGTGAGAAATTCAACCTGAGCACCATTTTGATGTAATGGCACTAAGCAAATGTTATCTGTATTCAAATTGCAATAGTCCTTTCTTACAAGACCTTAAATATTGATAAGGTATACTGTGGTAGGCAGAATAATGCCCCCCAAGCATATACTCAAGGAAGTCTGTATCCTAATCCCTGGACTTTGAGAATATGTTATGTTTTATGGCAAATGGGAATTAAGGCTGCTAATCAGCTGACCTTAAACTGGGAAATAGGGAGAGTATCCTGAATTATCCAGGTGGGCCCCATGTAATCACAAGGGTCTTTTAACAATGAAATTGGGAGGCAGAGTGTTGATTGGCCTGGTGTGATGTGAGGACGCCGCCACGTCTTTGCCATTTGAAGTGGAGGAAGGGGCGAAGGATGCAGGTGGTCTCTAGAAGCTGGAAGGCAGGTGACAGATGCTGCCCAGCCCCTACTGAGAGAAACAGCCCAACCATGCCTTGATTTTAGCCTGGTGAGACCCGTGTCAGACATCTGACCTGCAGAACTGTAAGAACATACATCTGTGTCCATTAAGCTGCTAAACTTGTGGTAATTGTTAGGGTGGCAAATGGAAAACTAAGTACATACTAATGAGAAAAAGTTACCCAAGACGATGAATTTTTAAAAATATATTTGTATTGATTTCAGAGAGGAAGGGAGAGAGAGATAGATACATCAATGCTGAGAGGGAATAATTGATCAGCTGCCTCCTGCACGCCCCACACTGGGGGTCGAGCTAGCAACTCAGGCATGTGCCCTGACCGGGAATCGAACCACAAACCATAACCTCCTGGTTCATAGGTCAATGCTCAACCACTGAGCCACACTGGCTGGGCAGAATATTTTTTTAATAAGGAGAAAAATAGACACAACTAATACTTTTCAAGAAGTGTAATTGGACAGGCACATAAAAATATTTCCTCTTTAATAACATTAACAAAAACATGTGCATTTTCAGAACAAAAAAAGCTCTGTTCTTTTGCCCTGATGTCACATAATAATTATATGATGATCTAAATCAAGAATTGTACCAAGGTTTCCTAACTAAAATTAAATTTGGCATGGCTTTTCTATATATAGCATGAGTCTTTAGGGGTACACCTCAAGAATCTTCCTTTCTTGCTGCCAAACTTGAAAACTCTGCTTATACATGTTGAATATTCAAGAAAAATGCTATTTATTAAGTGATATTTCTTCCTACTGCTTTGTCATTAACCTGCTCTGTACCCTTGTGCATCATTTAATGTCACTCAGACTCACCTTTCAAATGAAGTAGGTAGATTAGATCAGGGTTTTTCAACCTTTTAGACTGCAAACCACAGAGAATTTTACTCCATCACTCACACACACACACACACACACACACACACACACACAGTACAAACCTAAGTTTCACAAATAACTCTTAGGCTTATTACAAGCATTGCAGTTGGTAATTTTACATTATTTTCTGGTCTATTCTCATATTAAAAACTCTAGTCAAAACCTACTAACGTGATTGCTGGATCCACTAATGAGATACAACTACTATTTAAAAAATACTGGACTAGATGATTGTATTTTTGTTGTTGCTGTTATTATTATTGACTATCAGGCTTCTAGGAGGATAGTTATGGGGTATATGGGTAATAGTCTACCCTCAATTCACAGGAAAGATCTATTTTTCATTCTTTCTGGGATGCGGCAAAAAGAAGACACCAATATTATCAGAGAAAACATTTCAAACTATTAAACCAAATTCTCTCATTTGCTCTTCATAGGCTTATTTAAACAAAAGATTTGAAATAAAGTTTACAGAGTAACCAGCAATGTTTTTCTTGGGACTAAGCCTTTATTAGTCAAATAACTGCACTTGTTGAATAAATGAAGATGATTCTTTGAAATACAAGCTTTATTTACATTGGCTTGACTTTCTTCTTATTGTTCTCACACAGTGTGGCCCTCATTTGAGGAGACAAATTCCAGCTATTTAAGGTCAGATATATACTTTCTAACTTATTAAATAAACAAAGAATTTTGTTTTTAAATGTCAAAAGTCAATGCTGATGTCAGTTTACTGAAAGGATTTTCTCACATTTAATGGTGGTGCTGTAAATTGGTACCACTCTGGAAAATCAATTTGAAAACAGTGTAGGAAAGATCAGCATAATTGCCAATTTCCTTTGGCCCTTTAAAACAATAGTTTCAAAGTAAGCTAGGAAATAATTCTTAAAGTGTAAAAATCTGTATATGACCATATTCATTATGACATTATTTACACATACTCACTAGTAGGCATTTTAAATCCCCATCTGCTCTTACTGTGACCTTGAACAGTCATGTAATTTCTTTGAAACATCATCTACTAACCTTCAAAACCTCACAGGATTTTGTTAGTGTTAAATAAGATAATGTATGTGTTGTGCTTAGCATAGAGCCTGGCATACAGACTACTCAATAAATGGTTGAAAACATAATTCCTCTATTAAAATCACGGGGACATGTTGCTATAGAAGACAGCTTTTTTTACTATAATCTAAAGCAGGTTTCTCAACCTCGACATTATTGACATCTGGGCTGGATAATTTTTTGCAGATGATTTCTTTGCTGTGGGGTTGCCCTGTGTATCGTAGGATGTTTAGTGGCAGCATCCTGGGTCTTTACCCATTAGATGCCAGTATCAGTCCCTCCCTTCCCCCATCTCATCCCCAGTTGTGACCATCAAAAATGTTTCCAGATGTTGCCAAATGTGCCTGGGGGTGGGAGTGGGGCAAAATCAGCCCTGGTTGACAACATGAAATCTTACATTATTAATAAAACCATGTATAAACATTTGCATGTGAAATGAAAAATGTTTTAAATTTATAAAAGTTTCTTCAATGTTATTGTATTGATTTTTTATTTTTAAACATTTTTATATACATCTGAGTCTTAATTGCTTCACTGATTTAGTAACTGTGCTTGTAAATATTCTAAGAATAATTCAACACAATGTTCATTGTTAATTGGCTTTCACAATAAAAAATGGAAAATTAGCTAATAACAGAAAGGCAGTGTTAAGTAACATAGCCTCTTTTTCTCATTGTTAACTGGGGTAATTGTTAAACATAAGAAGAGCCCTGGCTGGTGTGGCTCAGTTGGTTGGAGTGTCATCCCATGTGCCAAAGGGTTGCAGGTTCGATTTCCGGTCAGGGCACATACCCAGGTTTTGGGTTTGATCCTGGGTTGGGGCACATACGGGAGGCAGCTAATAGATGTTTCTCTCTCACAATGATGTTTCCCTCTCTCTCCCTTTCTCTGTCTAAAATCAATTTTAAAAAAAGTTAATTTTAAAAATAAAAAGATACAGTATTGTTTTCACCTACCAATGGTTCATGAATCACATGGGGTTATTAACACATGAAGCATGAGATGGCGTGTTTATTTAATGTGGGTATTTTCTAGAGGTCTGCAGTCCCTGAGATAATAAATGGCATAACATCCTTAAAATGACAGCTCTTCATTCACCGTGATAACTGCCCACAAATGGTTGTAAAGGAAAAGAAGGAACAGGGGAAGGAAGGAAAATCCAGAGTTTTCAACTCAAAGGGATTTTAGAAATTTTAATATGTTTTAATATTTTAATCTTTTCCCCTTAATGCTAAGCTGTGTGAACTAGAGCTTAGGAAATATAAATAAATTGCTCAGGAGTGTGGACCTGCTAAATAACTTGTTTTGTTTCAAGATAATTTGCTCACTTATTCTATGGTTTTTTTACCCTACATATTTTATTTTTATTGAATTTATTGGGGTGACATTGGTTAATAAAATTATGTTTCGGTGTACAATTCTATAATGCATCACCTTTATATTGTATTGTGTGTTCACCATCCCAAGTCAAGTCTCCTTCCATCACCATTTATCCTCCCTATACCCTTTTCTCCCCCCCACCCCTCCACCTCCCTCAGTGGTTTCTTACGTGCCTCCCATGTTCCAGAGTAGATGCTGGGGGGAAAGCCCTGAATGAGATGTTCTTGGAGCTTTCAGCTTAGTGTATCCAGAGGGTTTATATGTACCGATATCCTCACTAGCAGCCCAGGCACCTCTACTCAAGGGTCTTTCCTGCAAAGGGGGCATCTGTAATACTTTCAACAATAAATATAACTTTTTAAAAAAGAGTCTTTCCTGGACAGTGCTGGTGTGAACAGGAAAGGTTAGTGGAGCATTTGGAAAAGTGGGCAGTGCTGTTCCAGAGCAGTTCAGGTTTCATTACAACCCTGACCTTGTCCCT